GTAAGCGACAATAACATAAATCTGAGTTAAAACCGGAGATGAAAAGAGTTTTCAGGTGGTGATACTGACATTGTCCCCCACTTCTCTCCCCCTCTCTCCCAGTCTGCTCAGACCGTGTCCATTGACGCTAAATGTGACGAGCCAACGCTGCTTGGGAATGTGCTGGATGAGATCAAGCAGACCTTCTCTCAGTGCTGATTGTGTCTGACAGCCGAAGGGTGCCCCACCCTCCACCCTACCGCTCCATCCCACCCCTCCCTCACTGAAACACAACATAATCACGTTACGAAACACTGCGACTGGCACCTCCAGTATCGCCCTATTTATTAGTCCGCAGATTTGCAAGATTTCTTTCCCCTCCTCTGCTTCTCCAGCGCCCCACACTTTGGCCCTCTTCGCACTCTGTGGTCACTCCCTCACACTTGATGTTGCTTTACAGACTCATTGTGTACATGCTTCATCTTCTCTGCAGTGTAATTTTCATTTTTACTTCCTAGTTTTCGAACCGCTGCCCCGTTGCACCCCGACTCTGACTGAGCTGCCGTTTCTGGACGCCTGGCGTCCTCTGCTCTTTCCCGCGTCTCTTTCCGCCCTCCACTCTGTCGGGAATTCAATCTGTGACGATCGCGTCATGTAATGTTGACAACTGGACTTTTGCTGTTAATGGTTGAATTGTATTTTTACTGTTTTGACGTTTTTGTCTTTGGTTTGTTTTGTTGTTTTGTCTTTTCTTTATCTTTGTCTGAAACCTGACTGCGCCTTCATCTAATCCCCTCCTTTACTGCTCACTAAAATCTGTGTGTGCTGCTCATCTGTGTAGGCCTTGAAAAAAGACAAATCAGGTGATTGACTCTTTTTTTCGGACTAGATGGGCGCTATAACCTGCTCACCCACCACTGACCTGGTGCCTGGAGAAGACCAGACACTGGGCAAGTGCAGTGAGCGGAGAGCAGAGGTGAAACCAAAGCTACAAATAAGGCATGGGTTTTAAGCTCGTATCGGGGTGCTTTTGCCCTACTTGCCTCTTGGCGAGGCTCAGAGCAGATCTGCTGGTGTTTAGTTGAACCGAATCCTTGTGTCTCTACGGGTGATTGTACAGTAGTTCAGTAGTTTTGCTCTGTGCCTTAGCCCTGCAGTCTGACCTACTCCGGCACTTCATAAGTCTCGTAGAGCCCCCACCTCTCCCCTGAGTGCACTGATCTAACAGTGCTAAACTGCAGATTGACCCTCCCCAAGGACTTTGAACATATCATTCCTTTGGCAAATCCAGTGCAATGTGAGGTTTCTATGACACCTGACAAAGCCACCTGTGTTCTACCACGTATGGATGGTTTAGTTATTGTATAGAAGATGTAATAATATTGTAAAGCAGGATGCTGTTCTTTGTCTGAAGGCAGGTCGTCACTTGGCCAACGTGTTCACGGAATAATCTGACGTAAAGAGCTGACATCACTGTCCTCTGTGGGGGGAAAAAAGACAACCTGTGACAAGTTAAAGGACACCACACTTATACTCTCAGCCTGCCTGTACTGTTTCTTTTAAAACTGCTGGTCTGCATATGAGATTGCTAAAAGTCATTTACTACTAAGCGGACGCTGTTAACTGGTCAGTGGCTTGAGGCGCCCTGTGAGTCAGTATTAATCAACACGGCTTCCACAGTAAGGAAGCATCGCCTCTGTCAGCAGCAGCAGTTGTGTGGTTTTTGTCTGTCCTCATGTGAAATATTTGCGCCCGTCTCCTTCTCATACATCACAGAAAAGGCCAGTTGACCCACCCATATGTTTCTTTTTCCCTCCAGAAACTGCCTTGCTACTTTGTGTGTGTGTGTGTGTGTGTGTGTGAGGAGAGTCTTTAAGAAAACACAACACCCGACTTCCTGTTGAACTCTAATCGATGTCTTCATTTGGATCATTCATGTTTAAAGCAACCACCCCGTCCACTTCAACTAATCCTTGTAGTAGCGAGAGTGAAAGGAAAAAAAAAGACTTGGTAGCGTCTCTGTTCATATATACTGGTAAGGCCCTCCTCTCTCGCATTTGTCTGCTATTGTAGATAAGAAATATGATAATGATGTCTGGCCTGAAGGTCAAGTCAGCCATTCCACTAGATTTTCAGTAGTAGAGTCTGAAATCAGAGGTGATCAGCTGTTTTTCAGGAACGTCAGTAGAAAATAATTATGTACGTGCTCCCTGTTCCTGAAAATGATATCCGTGAATCTGAGAAACAACTTCTCTAATCACACGCTGTCCTAATACTGATCATTCTGTGCATACTGTTAGATTAAAATTTGTATATTGCATGATTAGGAATGTACACTTTTATTTTCCTTGTTTCTTTCCCATGGACATGCTTACACGGACAAAGATGTCATTCCATTTTCTCCTTTGTTTTTCCTACTTTTTTTTTTTTTGTTTTTTTTTTTAAAATGAGGTTTTCTTGACCATTCTCTATTTTTGATGGTATTGTGTTTTTATCTATTCTAAGTGCAGACAATTAAAAGAAGTGATACCATTGAATGTTTTTAAATTATTAGTCACAGGGGAAGGAAGGGGGTTCTGTTTGGCGTCGCACCACTGAGGACATGGGGCTCACAATAACAGTAGAACAGGTTACGTGAAGCAGTGTACTGGGAGGCAAACCCGCTCTGTCTTAATGCTCTGTTGGTTCAGCTGTAGTGACTTATTCTACCAAGTTTGGCTTGTGACATTGAAATATACTCTCGTATGACAGATTTTTTTGAAGGTCCTGTCTTTTTATTTCTTCATATTCAACTCTACAATGTCATATTCAGAAGGGGACAACATAAATTACATTCCCTTCAAAGAAATTCCACTCAACAAAAAAATAAAAATAAAAAATAAAAGCTGTAAGAAGATGCTGTAGTCCTTTTGTGTGTGTGTGTGTGTGTGTGTGTGTGTTAAAGTGAGCCAATAAGCATACAAAAAACTAGTTTTGAATGAAATGATAGAAACCTGGAGTGTGTACGTGTAGATGAAGATTTGTTCTTGGCAAATTAATACACGTCTCTTTATCAATAAAACTAGATGTGCTGCTTTGAACTTCAATTCCCAGAAAGCCTAGCAGCAGAAGTAATCGAGACCCCTACTGACTGACAGCGAGCAGCTGAGTTGAGAAAAGTTGAGCAGACAAAGCCTCAGATTGAAGTTTTATGAAAAAATTAATTGTTTTATCGAAAATGCCGCTTGGCCAACCTCCTTTTCCTCCTTAAGGCACCCGATAAAAAGAGGAGGCTGACAAGCTTTCGGTAGCAAAGATAACCGAGATCAAAATGAATTTCCGGTATAGACTTTCAAAACAAAACTCGCGATTCGAACTGTATTTTTCTCTAAGAGCAAGCAAAAATGGACACTTGCGTATGTTTAACTAGAAGTACATTAAACGACACAAAACCTAAAAAATAAAGATTCTACCTTCATCATAAACAATGAGCATCCTAACTGTAAGGTCTTAATAAGTTGTTTACCTGAGAGAGTGCAACTAGGGTAAAGGTCAAAAGAGAGAGGGGTAAATTGTGCAGTGCTGTGAGAATGATTTATTTTTTTTTTTTTTTTTGCATATTTGTCTCACTAACATGTTTCAGTTTAAAAAAATTTTAGGCAAGCTAAACAAATGCAAAATGCAGTTTTAAATGATGGTTTCATTTATTAAAGGAGAAAAGCTATCCAAACCTGCCCTGTGTGAAAGAGCTAGTAACCTAATAACTGTTTGTGAAAACAGTTATTAGGTTTTGTGCATTTGTGAAAACTGGCAATGAGTCTTTCACACTGCTGTGGAGGAATTTTGGTCATGAGAAAGTAAGTTTATCAGACCTCGACCTGGACTTTGATTAAGCAACCACAAAATCAAAACTTTAATTTTCCTTTCAAAGGTGGACTTGGTGAGATATTCTCCTTCAGGATTTTCTGGCAGACAGCAGAATTCATGGGTCTATCATTTACAGCAAGTCGCCCAGGTCCTGAAGCAACAAAGCAGTCACAGACCTTCACACTATCAGCGCCATATTTGATTGTGGGTGTGATGCCCTTTGTATGAAATGCTGTGTTAATTTTAATGTGAGACAATACTTGTTCAGAATTTGAATACTTCAAGAATCACTTAGGAAATTATGTGATGGTGGTTTTTGCCTTGGAGCTCTCCATGGATGCTATTTTTGCCCAGTCTCTTTCTTTTTATTGAATGATGAACACTGGCCTTAGCTGAGGTAAGTGAGGACTGCAGTTCTTAAGACTTTGTTCTGGGTTATTTTGTGATCTCCTGGAGGACTTGTCAATTCCATTTCCCAGATTGGATTCGGTAGACCAACACCCTTTCTATTTTCAAGGTTTAAAACTTTTGATAAAGCATTTAGTTGGGGCTGGATCAGTTGACCCTGAATCCTCCCTTAATTATGCTGCAACAGGCCAATAGACTGTTGGGGGCTTCCTGTGATGCACTGAATGTTTCTTCTTCACTTACCTTATTCACTCACCATGTGTTTACACCCCACTCTGCATTTAATCAGTAGTTATTATTAATCTCTGGCACAAACACAAATGTTTGTGTTGTTCTGTTTTCCTTCTCTCACCCCCAACCACTCGATGGATGTCCCTGCCTGAGGTTTCTTCCTGTTGTAAGGGAGTTTTTCCTTCCCACTGTCACCAAGTGCTTGCTCACAGGAGGTGGTTTGATTGTTACAGTTTTCTCTGTACTATTGTAGGGTCTTTATCTTACAGAATAAAGTGCCTTAAAGCGACTGCTCTTGTGATTTGAAAAATGAAAGCATCTTTTAAAAACTTTTTGTATTTATATGGGTTAAACTATGGTAAATGTAATATACTTTTATTAATGACATAATATCACAAATTTGTTTGACGATCTCAAACAGACAAGTTTGAAAAATTAGCAAAAAAACCAAGAATTCAGGAAGGGGGGGTCACAGCTGTCTGATATGGGCTACTGATACTTTAGAGTTTTATTTTGAAGAATGTCACCGGAAATGAGGCAAAAAATACCTTCGACTTGATAACGGTAGGTTCATGGTCGTTAATAACTGGGGCTCCGTTGGATTGTTCACAACAACAGAGAGGAAGGCGCACCAGCTCCGGCCAAATAAAGCCCAGACGCGTTTTGGCACCGCACACAAACGGAAACCAACCGTTCCTGCGCGACGAGCTCCGTTCTTCTACTGTTAGCTGTTGTTTGTAACGAGCTAGCTTTGTCCTTCGCAGTCACAGCTGTGGTGGGTCGCTGATATTTTTTTATATATAAAAATCGCCGTGGAATATGGCTCAGAATAGACATCATGTAGCCAGTTCCCAAAAAGCATTAATGCTGGAGATGAAAAGTCTCCAAGATGAGCCGGTCGAAGGGTTCAAAATAACTTTGGTGGACGAGTCGGACCTGTACAACTGGGAAGTAGCGATATTCGGACCCCCGAATACACACTACGAGGGTGGTTATTTTAAGGTGAGTGGCTAATGTTAGCTAGCTGTCCGTCTATTGTTCTTTAACTGGTTAGTTTTACTGTATATTTCAGTAATTTGATCATACAGGGCAACCAAGCGACCAACCTCACCCTTCATGTAACCATTTCCACCAGCAGCAGGTAATCGTTAATAACGTTAACTTGGCTAATTGCCCCCTGTTTAGCGTTATTGTGACAACTACTTCTTTGTTTAACTTTAAACCAACAAGACTCCATGAAAACTTTGTTGCTTGGGCATATTTTTTCATCAAAACACAGATTAGGTCTCTTACAGATCTGACATGTGCCCGAGTTACTTTTTTGTTGGCTTGAAACAAAAGGTTGTTGAGCATAACCGCCTCCAGCACTACCTTGATAGTTCAGCTCATCAGTTATCTCGCTAATTCAAACCTTTTCTTTGTGTTCATCGTTACAATTCAGCAGCCCTGGCTTGAGTACTTTTTTTTTTTGTTGGTTATTCAAATGTACCATACATACATGCATGGTACTAACGTTGCTTTTGAAATGTTAGCTTCCAGCCTTAACTTGTCTAACTTGTGTAGTGACTCATAATTTGTTTTCTCGTCTACTTCCTCCCTTGAGAGTAAAGATGCGTTGGTTTTGTTCCTGTTTAGCAGAATTTGTGCTGATTATAAACCGCCACCATCGTATTTCCGTCTTCAGAAGATTTTTGCGGTTGATGTTTGAGTGTGCCATTTCTCTGCCCTTTAACTCTCTGAGTACTGACCATTGAGTAGTGTTTTAAAGTTCTAGTACAAGTATTTATATTGGCATGCCATGTTTTCTAATTCTAACGTTCAAACGTTGCAACTCACTGGAGTCATTGTTTTTGGTGCTGTGATGCTCATCCTGGAGGGCGATTGGATTCATTACTTTGCTTATGTTTAGTGCAATAAAGCCCCAAGTAGCTGTGGTTCAGACTTGCCCTAGATTTTTTTGGTTTTTATTTAATTTTTTTTTTTTTTTACTGTGTATAAAAAAAACAAACAAACAGATGACAAGCCTTTTATTGACGTGGCACAATAATGTTTGCTTGAAACCTGAATTTAATTTGCAGAAAAGCAAAGTAACAAATTCTGCACGATTGCTTTACAATGACTTTGTTTTATTTCCTCCCAATGCTAAGCCTGTGTTGTATCCATACAACAGTTGTTAAGCTGTAAATGATTAATATTGTCTGCAGACCTCATGTAACACCACCCTTCTTGCACACTGTCCCTTCAGCTGCCCTGAGGTTTTTTTTGTAGTTCCAGTTCCTAAGAAACAGTCGTCATTTCGCCTCTGCTCTTTTCAAAGCCTGTAAGCACAAACGGAGGGGCCCGACCAGGCTCCCGTAGACGGTGTTCAGTGGGTCTGTGTGGTTGCCGTGTACAGGATTCCTTTGTTGGGCCAGGAATGCACAGCTTGGCTGTGAAATCTGCCGCATGGCTGTGACTCATTGTTCTGTGCTGGGTTTCTATCCGACCAGTTTGCAATATTCAGAAGAGAGAAGGGAGGGGGGAAAAAATAGGAGAGGGAAAGAACCACCTCTTTTTGGTGTTCCCAAAACAAACAAAGAGTTATGACTCGCCGTGAGGCCTGTTCATCTGAAGCGGGGCTGATGCTGACGTCACGTGCAACCTGGCTGACTCAGGCGTTTATTTCACATGGGTGTTTCTTTGAAAAAGGCACACCATGACGAACACATTATGCATGCAGGCGGGCACGCACTGAGTGGACCGAGACGTATTGAAGTGTCACTCACACAGGATTAGATAACTGTCCTTGTTGCTTTAGTAAACACACAGTGCAGAAGTAAACACACAGTGCAGAAGTAAACACACAGTGCCTTATAATGATAAGCTGACCCATGACCTGTGACTTTCATATACTCGCTGGTGCTAACACTCATTTGCTGACTCTGACATTTCTGTGTATTCATGTGAGGAATCAGTTTAGGCTCTGAGACTCTGATGTTTACTGACTTTGGCCTGTAGTAAGCTCTGGTCTTGGGACACGAACAGCTGAGTTGGCCAGAGCAGTGGTTCCCATACTAGGTGCTGAGAAAGGTCAAGGTGTGCTTGGGGATTCAACGACACTACCTGAAAAGGACTGATAATTAGTAGTGGTGGGGGAAAAGAATCAATACAGCATAGTATCAGTATTGAAGTGATACAGGGACACCAAATATTGATATTTTCTAAAATGATATCAAATATTTTGGGAATACTGGAAACAAGAGGGCACATCTCGTGCTCCACCATCCTGTGATAATGTTAGCTGAGGAAACTTGCATTAAATCAGCTCAACTGAAAAACCATCCAACACTGGACGCACTTAATTATCTCCTAATTAAGCTAATGGCTCAGTCACAGGAGTAGAAATAGGAC